AAGACCTTCGTTCATCTTCGGAACACAATTTAAGATATTTTTGATGAAATATGAGGGCTCTCTGACCCTCCCATATACAGCAAGGTAACTACCACGTTCAAGGTCCGGAAAAGTCACTTGTGGACGTGCGTTCAGACAGTACCATGACGCAACACACACTAGCAGCGAATTTTGTCGCTGAGAGGAGAACGATCACATGAGCTCTACTGTCTTCTTTCCTATTGGCTGTCGCTCCCGAAAGTCACTCTTCATTTGCATAAAGTTGGTTTGGAACAACACAAGGGTGAGTAATTAATGACAGAATTTTCATTTTTGGGTGAACTAACCCTTTAATAGCTCAAAGCCTAGTGCGACCGCTCCTTTACTCCCCTAGCCAACCAGAAAGACTGCCATCCTTATCCACCATGAAATTCACACATGGCATATGTGACCTTTTAACAGACTTGAACAGACATTTAATACAGAAGTAAAGTCAAAGGGCTCTGGTGTTAGATATGGGGTAAGCGTGTGTTTGGCTAAAGGGCATCAAGTCTGTCTGGCTCTTATGTAATGCCTCTGTGTGTCTGTATCAAGCGTGTGTTTGTTCTATCTTTGTTTTAAAAGCGCAGCAGGCCTCAGTTCCACCGTGCCTTTCACCTCGACCGTAATCTCCTTTCACGCCTGCGTTATTCCAGATTATTCTTATCCTTTGCTCAGCTCCTGCTGGGCAACAATAGCACTACCATACTATCTGCAAAGCAAACGGCCTGCCTGCCACCTCATACACACACGGCTTATCAGCAAACAGCCAAATCCTGCCCCGAGAGAGAAAGCAAGAGTACAGAAGAAAGAAAGCGAGTCGGTTTAAAATGTTCCAGCTATGAGGGCGGGAGCACAACAGAGGCATAAAATCTGATTTAGGCCTAAAAACCTTAATCTCCTCGATCCATAATCTAACAGGTCTGGAATTCCCCCAGCTGTTAGGAAAGAGGGAGCAAGGGAGCAAAAGCCGTGCCACTGTTTCCAGCGAGTGGGCATCTCCAGTCATGATCTCATCCCGCAGTGCTGGCACTCTCAAGAGGAGAGCTGCCCTTTTACTCAAAAATGCCAAGCGCACCACATTCCTACACTCTGAAAAGTCCCTAATTGCTGAGATACACATTCAAACGGCCCCTTTGCCCTCTTATAGAGAACAACCAGACATGACTTAATTATATAATTATATGCCACCGGACCCCCGCACACAGACTGACATACTTCGGGACGTTTATGACCATGCACAGGTTTATTTGAGGACAGGAGAGTGCCGCTCTCATCTGCATGTGGGTGAACAGAAATTATTTTTATCAGAGGTTATATTAAGTGTCTCTGTTTGATTCTCTGTGTCTATATCTGTGTGATATCACTCTATACATGTTGCACTGTAGCGTGCTGCTGGGATGGCATAATTTTGTAGGCCGACCTGAAAGTTAGCATCACCCTTGTTCCCTTGACAAAAACCCAATAGGATTTTGCATCGGCTTTTGGATAACTGCAGAAATTACGCTCTGTGACCAACAAAATTTTGTGATTCTTGCATGTTTTTTTACATCATAACAAATCTCACAAATTAACACAGGTTTTATTAATTTTGAAGCCTAAATGCAATCGCCAGAAGTAAAAAGTTACAGTTAGGCTACAAATGAACTACACCACTCTCATGTGACTCCAGTAAGCTTTGACAACTCTTTTAATCTTTATTTAAAATCGACAAGTTGAAAAGTTTGAGTTAGACTTGGTGTAATTGTGAGTATAAACATTGGGCTGTAAAATAGGCCTAATGAGTAGATTAGTTTTCTTGTTTGGTGTGGTGTTTAATGTCCCTGACAACCTCTGTAGTCCCATTTAGCAACTGTTTAGCAGCTGCCTTTCATTAGATGCATAAAGCCATGAGTTGTATATTACTGATGTAGTTTATGTCATAGAATAAAATGCAAAAATGTCTTGACCTAATTTCAGGCATTTAATTAAAACCCATTAAAAAAACAAAAATTGACTTAGGACGATGGAACCGGAAGTGCAAACATGCTAACATTTTCAGGTTTATTTAATTCCTAGAGCACATTATTCATTCTTCTCTGTCTTCACCTTCTCCATAAATTTTATTTTTTCCCCCCTTTCTCTAGGCCCCAAAGCTTGTGCCGTCTGAGCACTTGACCCACCTCCCAGTCCAACACAATACCTCTCCTCCCTGAGGACTTCAGTTGAGTTTCTCAGCTCAGCAGTTTTGAACTCCTGTTTAGTTGTGCACAACTCAACCTCAACTGAGCATTGTACATCTCAACTCAAATTGAACTCTGCCCATCCCAAGTCAAGTCAACTAAACTCAAACAATCTCATCTGAAGTCATATCATTTTGTCAAATCAACTCAAGTCCACTCACATCACCTGAAGTCAAGTCATCTTGTCTCATTCTCAAGCCTCATTTGTCTCATTCTTGTCATGTCATCTTGTCAACTCAAATGAAGTCTTCTCAAACACTGTCATTTCATCCCAAGTCCTCTCAACTTGTTCACCCAAAAATCAAAATTATGTGATCATTTACTCACCCTATTGTTGTTCCAAACCTACATGACTTTCTTCTACTGAACGCAAACGAAGATGTTTTGAAAAATGTCAGTATAGGGTCCAATGTTGTTTGGATTCCAACATTCTTTGAGTTTTCCAGAGTTTTCAAAAGAAACAACAGGGTCAGCAAACACATTTTTATTTTTGGGTGAACTGTTAACCCTTTTCAAGTAATCTCAAGTCAACTCAACTCATCTCAAGCCTTCTAATGTTAACTCAAGCTCAACTCATCTATGCTCATTCCAACTCAACTCAAGTCAACATAGAGGAGCAGTATTGTGTTGGACTGGGAGGTGGGGATTTTTTGGGGTCAAATACCCAAACAGCCATGGGGGTGCAGAGAGAGAGAGAGGAAAAAAAAGTGAAATCAGTGGATTTGTGGAGTGGGTGAAAAGAGAGATAGGATGAAATGCACAGAATGACAACATAATTATGATCGTTGGCGTATGGGTAAAGATAATCACACATAGACATTTATGACCTTTGTCACTGATAAAGATCCTTTCTGTTCACCCACACGCAGATGAGACTGGCACATGCCGCTGTTGACTGCTGGCTTGTGTCAGATCTCCCAGTGTGAAGCTGGATGGATGTGCCTCTGTAGGGCCCTTAACAGGACACAACGAGTTTTTATCATCACTTTTGGACTTCAGAGGAGAGTGGAAAGTGTTTAAGATTCAGTTCAAACTCAGCTCAAACAGAGTCTCTATCTTTCTCCTTTTTCTGGTGTTGTTGGCGCAATAAACAATAATTACCCAGTAAGGGCAGAATATGGGCGTATCGGAGTAAGATATTCCTTTTTAAACATCTAAAGCTCCAGGCTTCTCTGGCTTGGGTGAAGCAGTCATCTGGTTCATCAAAGTCCTCTGGGTAGATCGGGCTCTTGTTTAGTGGTAGACACAGGGTGCATGTGTGCTTTGAAACGTCTGTGCCTTAGGCTGTGTTTGATGTGTGGCATGGTGGTGGTTTCACATGGATCTTAGTGGCTTTGAGATAAGCACATTTCGCTCTCTGGGAAAATGGAGCAGCTCAAAGAAGTTTTCCATTTTGGGATGTTGTACTGTCCTGTTCCTGAGAATGTGGATGTGTTACTATCAACAGGTGTGCATGTAGACTGGTTTGAAGATGTTGCCGTTTGATGCCTTTTTTTAAACATGTAAAAATACTTTAAGCTCCACACATTGCACACAAGAGATGGCTGTGTTGTAAATGGCTTTGCTCTATAAAATAATACCCACATTGATTGAAAAGGTTGCTTAATATAACATTTTTATTGGTTAAAATCCGAAAACTGTTAATTTCAGTAATTTGATAAACCTGTATCAGGTTACGAAACCCCAAAACAGTCCAAATGAATGTTCATCCGTTCTCTGATAACCTTTGCAAGATGCCACACTGTGGTTGAGACCTTTTTCTTGAATACTGTGACCTTTCCCCCAGACCAGATGCCTTAAGAAACAGTTACTGGAAATCTAAAGCAAGGTGGATATTATAATGAAGAACTGTTCCATTATGTAACCATGATGACATTTCAAAACCTGCTGGTGGGACATCGGCTCCAAAATTAGACCTAGGTGTTCTGTCTACACATTTGGTGTAATTAGGGTTAAGTCAGGTACACTTATTTTATTTTTATTTTTGAATTTTATTAGATTTTATTTTAAGTTTACTTATTTAAAAAAAAAAAGGTTTATTTTGATGGTTGCTCGTCAGACTAAAATCTTAAAAGCCAAGGCAGACTGTACATCATACAATCAGATTTACAATATACATCTTGACACAGTTGATGGGCACTTAATCATACATTCTGACACAGCTATTAATACAAGAAATGGAAATGGTGCTGCACAAACTGAAGTAAGTTCTGTTATAGCAATATTTCATTGTGGAAAACAACAGGACATTTTCAGTATGCTGTGCGAGAGTGAATTTGCGGACTATACTCAAAGCAAGTTACTGCTCTTAGTACTATCATAACATGAAGAAAATATGCTACAATATTTGCATATCATATAAAAACGATATTGAGTACAAGTTTGTAACTAAACATCTCTCAATTGCTCTGCTTATCGGCTCTTATTTAGATGGCTGTCATGGGATTCACAGTGCAGGACCGCAGAACTTTGTCAGAGATTCATCACGAAGGCAATTAATCAGCTGTTGGTGAGTATTTATTTATTTTATTTATTTAGTCATTTAGCAGACGCTTTTATCCAAAGCGACCTACAAATGAGGACAACAGAAGCAACCAATTGCCTAAAAAATAACACTGCCAAACTTACATGCTAAAAAACAACAACTTACTTACACATAGTAAGAAATGGTCAAGCGACGGCTGCCGCGACTGCTGCGCGGTAAACTACTATTTTTTCCACAACAAATGGCCAAGCAAGCACAGACACTGACAAGATACGCGATACAGAACGAGACCAAATGCGAAATGTAGTATTTCATACTAAATGATTGCAGATTTTGCCTTATGACTAAATATATTTTTTATGGTTCCCAAAATATGTCTCAGGTGAAAAAATGGGGCCAAAATCCTTTAGGGTATGCTTTTTTGGCCTTTTGGAAACATAGTAACTGATCGGTGCACGTTAGGTTTTTCATTATATTTTGATATTTGCCCCAACGACATGCAGCATTAAATTTGGATGCATTTTTAAGTTAATCCTGTGATGATTCATCCTCAAGACATTCAGTCTGAGAACAAACCCCTGGGATTGTTGGAATACATTGCAGTTCTCCCAGGCCACAAACCACTCACATCGTACAGGCTTTCCTCCCTGTCCTAAAAAAGACAAGCTCCACTCTTATTAACCGACTGCAGCTCGCTAAAGGATGATGTTGAGAATAATGGAATAGAGGTCTGTGTGTGCTGACCTTTCTGAGCTAAACTTGGCCAGCCGGTGTGAATGTGCTCCTAGGGTCTATTGTGTTCACAGCCGTTATCATTGTATTGCAGTTTCCTCTGTTCAAGAGAAAAAGAAAGGGAGAGAGAGAGAGCGCTAAAGCTACTGTTGGATCTTAGACATGCTGAGGTTGTTCGAAATCTGGAAACATAATTGATATTAATGAGACCGTTTTAGATTCCTGAGGAAGACGGCAGGTTGATCGGGCAGGACAGGTACGCCCAGCTCCTGATTTGGGCCAGTATCTACTGTCCTATTTAAAACCACACCTATGTGTCAGTAAACTTAAAGAAAAACTAATTTTGATTAAAATGAAATTCATAGATTGAAGTTATAATTATAGTTATAAAGAAATTAAATTAAATGGATTGTTTGTATCTGCTTTCTTGGTGCTAAATGGCCATCCATCACCTTTCCTAGTGCAGGAGATTTAATGAAACCATGTCTTTCATGAGGTGTTTCTCCTAAAACTCCTTAGAAAAAAATGAAAATTAAGTGAATAGTTAAGATAATTTATGATGATATAATGAGAACTCATAAAATTATGAATGTTTATGCAATTTAACAAATTAATTGTGATGTTGCTTCGGATAAAAGCATCTGCTAAATGAATAAATGTAAATACATTATTTGTCATAAACTAACAGGGAAGCATTTATTAATGTAGTGTTAATTTCTAGCTACACTACCATTTAAAAGTTTAGGGGTCTGTTGAAAGAAAAAAAAAGAATACTTTTATTCAGCAAGGATGCATTAAATTGATCAAAAGTAACAGTAAAAACATTTATAATGTTACAAAAAACTTTTGTTTTTAATAAATTCTCTTTATTCATAAGAGAACCTTGTGCATCTCTGTAAAATTAAAAATACTAAGCAGCACAACTGGTTCAGCTTTCAGCTTTAACATCACAGGAATAAATTACATCTTCAAATATGATATAAAATAGAAAACAGTGATTTCAACTGTATAGTATTTCACAGTATAACAGTTTTTACTGTATTTTTGATTAAATAAATGCAATCTTGGTGAGCATAAGAGACTTATTTCAAAAACATTTAAAAAAATCATTCTGACTCAAAGCGTTTGAACGGTAGTGTATATTATTGGTCGTTGTTAATTCATAATATGTCAATGTGTAAAAATCTTAAATGTTAAAAATGTTAATATGTAGCATATTAACATGAATAAATACTATAAAGTTTCATTTATCATTAGCTTAATGCATTAGCTAATATTAATGAATTGAATCTCTGTTCAAATTTTCCCCAATTTCTATTTATTGCTTCCTTCTCTCTTGTGGGATAGAAAGAACAAGAAACAGAGGCAGTGAGTGAGAAAGAGATGCGATTGGCTGAGGAATTTTGGCACTGTGTGAGTCTGTGTCCACCTGCAGATTCCTCTCACAATCCGTTTCACTCACAATACGCCCACAGGCCTGCTCTCTCTGCTCCTCCAACAGGGGGAGCACTTGTGCTCGGTGGTATTTGCGTGACTAATTTCACACTCTCTCCTCTGCCCACTCGTCTCTCAGTCAGATGCATGGACAAAAGACATGGTGTCAGAGAGTGGGTGAGACGATGGGACTGTTGCCATTGGCAACCTGGATACTAACACAATGATGACCCAGGGAATACCCTGTGTCTAATGGAATAAATGGAGGCATTGAGGGAGAGGGAGACAGAGAGTGAGAGGAAGAGAGAGAGAGTTTTATGTCTGACACATCAGAAAGACTGTGTGAATTGAAGTCCACCATTGTCTGCTGTATGAGAGTCCAGCTCAGAGATGACAAAGATGGACTGCTCTTAGACCAGTGTGTGTGTGTGTGGCCTTATATCTGTCTACAGCTGATCAAACTGACCCAACGTTGTAGTATTGTGCAGCCAGTTATATTCATTTTAAAGACAATCTTTAATTGACGACATAACCCCATGTACTCAGAATGAGATTGTAAACACTGAAGTGTACGGGAGTTTTCTGAAGTCAAGGGGTGAGATTTTACTCCTATCAACAGGCAGCCAGCTGTCAAAATTACAGATTGTGCTTTTAACTGGAGGTCGTAAGGCATTTGGGGTGTTTAATGGGTTTGAGGCCTTTTTGACACAGAACAGGAAAATGTAAGGACTATAAATGGGATAAAAACGTTAAATGGGGATACAAAGGGATGCTACCCTCCCACTGAGAAAAAAAATAGCCTTTTAAAAGTTTCAAATTGCTATATTCCATATAGATTATAGATTAGATTTTTCGATTTTCTCATTCATCAGAAAAGAGGAGTCCGTAAAGTACATTGTGGTAATACATCCTGTATTACAAGCTCGGCAGGATGTGCTACCCCTATTTTTCACCTTATTTATCCAAGTGGATGTACACCCTAATATGTATTTTCTGTCTGACAAGGTGTGCAACCTCTGTTTTAAAAGTGGTAGTATATTGTATTAAGTGTTTCCTGTTGACAAGATGTGCTACCCAGGCTGTGGCTCATTTTGAGAAAGAAGCCCATTTTTTCAGGCAAAAATGACAGCTTAAGCTACTGGTAGATCATCCTTAAAGGGTATGTCAAATTTTCAGAACACTTGGAGCTTAATGTTAGGCTCATGACAGCTAAGCATAAGCTAGGTAGCTATTACAGTCAGCAGTGGAGATCACATGAGCTGTCAAAGTGAATTTTACATGAGTACCACTGCTTTATCTTACTTTTTAAAAGATCATTAGGAACACTTTCTTTAAGAGAAATCTTTTACGATTTGCTTCATTCAGAAATGAATGTGTTTTTTGATTCAGGAACACAGACCCTTCTCAATATGCTGCATGAGATTACAGGCCGAGATAAAAGCACTCCTGCGGCAAATTCACACACGCCATCAAAGTTATCCTCCTATTGTTCACCCAACACACAGGAAGCCAGCATGTTGTGTTATTGTTGGATGACAAGACGACAAGTGAGGGAGAGGAACCAAGTAGAGAATAAATTGGGATTTGGGATGCAAGAGAGAGAAATTGGATCGGTTCTGGCATCTGCTTCTGCTACCTGCAGCCGAAAACCTGATTCCGATCCGCTCTTTGCAATTGAACCAGAGCTGTGAGGATACTGGGATTCATCTCTGAACAGGAAGGTGTAAAGAATGATGGGAAAACCAGCGGCAGGGATAATGGCGGGGAGAGTGCCAGAAATTGGCTGATGTCAGACCTTTTGCATTGGTTGTTGTGGAGGTTTTGATTTTTCATTACAATGTTTAATTTGAGCCACCTTAAAGAAACCGTAATGGATGTAAACCCAGGTGGCAGAAACACAAGATCACAGTGTATTCTTTTTGTACCATATACACCTAAAATTTAGCCAAAAAATAGCAAGTGATTACAGACAGATATAATGTATATATCATATAAATACTATAAAGTTTCATAAAGTTAAAGCATATATTATTATGTATCTGTTGTAACACAACTTTAATTCTCAACCTACTTGCATTGTTAGAATACTGTTTTGTAGTGGGTTTGGAAAGGAAAGAGGTCTTCAGATTCTGCTTACCTCTAACCCGGAGTACAAATGCAAATCTCTGTAGAAATGTTGATCCAAGATCTCGTTCCCCTTCTAACTGACCCCTAGAATCAAAGTGAAAATTAACCTTTTTCTAAATTAAGAAGGTTAACATGAAAGACAACAAATGTTGAACTCTTAGCCTGAGATGTTTTACAACAAGGGTGTCCAATCCTGCTCCTGGAGGTCCACCTTCCTGTAAAATTCAGCTCCAACCCAGTCCAACACACCTGTCTGGAAGTTTCGAAGATTCCTGAACCTTGATTACCTAATGTGATTTTTAATTAGGACTGGAGCTAATCTCTGCAGGAATGTGGATCACTAGGAGCAAGTTTGGACATTTTTGGGGTCTAAGTTTTGAATAGTCTTGAAGTCCTCGATTACCTGGTTCAGGTATGTACTGTATTATGAGGGCTGAAGCTAAACTCTGCATGAATAAGGACCTCTAGGGCACGATTGGACATCCTTGGGGACTGTAAGTTTTGAGTAGTCCTGAAGACCATGTCTGCATCTGATATTGCATACTTCTCTACTATATATAGGCAAAAAATAGTAGGCCTATGTGAAAATAGTAGTATGTCCGATTTCACAGTAGTCATACTAGTAGACTTACTACTTCTGACAAGATTCTGAAGTGCACATCCAGTAGACACTTCACTATCCCATGAGGCCACGGGAGAGGATTTGTGAATTGCAGTAAAGCGACGCAACAGATGTTGATAGGTCACATGACAATGGCAACAATTCTTACTACACACATTCATACTACATAGAACATACTTTTTTTCAAAAGAAGTACCTACTCAGAGAGTGAGCAATTTCAGACGTAGCCCTTGATTACTTGGTTCAGATATGCACTGAATAATGAGGGCTGGAGCTAAACTCTGCAGGAAATTGAACCTCTAGGAGCAGGATTTGATGTCCTTGGAGACTATTTCCAGTGAGGCGGGCAGAACCTTTAGTCTTTTGTTCAAGGCCAGATCTTGAGTGTAAAAATGACAGAGAGAAGCTTGACACAATGCCAAGGTTTCTTCTAGAACACAGGCCTGGAGGAGGAAATGTCTAATGTGAGCACTTCCATACTGCACCATTTTGGAATTGTGAGTTTTTAGACCCATATCTAAGATGTCTGGAGATTATATTGTATATTATATTGTACTGTATTTTGCTCTATTGAAGACTATTGTCTGGCCATCTCAGGGTTGTCTCAGAGCTAAACTAGGCCAGTCAAGGCTTCTCTGCCCACCCTCCCTGAGATGGTCAGACAGCTAGCATTGTTTTCACATACAATTTGCTTTGTGCTTGAGTGTGAGAGAGCTCTGTAACCCCACCGTGGAAAGCCTCAGAGAGAGCCCTGCCTTCAAGCATGAAGGCTTCAAGAGAGCCCTTCCCTGCTGCTGGAAACCTGTGAGCCCTACCCTGACGCCAGCTAACTCCGCTCTCAGTCTACTTCCTATTAATCTCCTATTCCTTTATCTCTGATTTCTTAATTCCTGCCATTTTAAACCAATGTGAACTTCCATGCTAAGTCCAGCTTTATGTGGTTTAGAGCTGGTTTGATGTTGGTCAAAACATAGTTGCTCTGTTAGTAGTCGGTTAGTGGTGATTGGCCAAGAAAATCATGCTAATGTAGCTATAGTTCAGAACCCCAGTGGGAACATCAGCATCCAAAACACAATGTAACACGTCATTTGCATGTACTTGAACTTACAAAGTGTTAAAGGTGCAGTAACATTATAATTGCTGGACTGAAAGGGTCAGGTAGAGTTGGTATACATTTAATATA